TCATTTCCCAGGGCTTTACGCCTCCTTTGGAAGCCCTGATGGCTCTGGAAATGGTGGATGATCTGCCCTTTGGGTACCAGCCAAGCCCGCAGGGAAACCTGTAGTGTCTCATGGAAGGATAATGACATGCTAATGAAGCCCCCGAGGGATTGAGGTGGGGGGGAGGGGGGGCCTGTGAACGTGGATCCCCGTTTCCCCTTCAGCCCCATTTACAGTGAGTGGTGTGCGTGTTGTCAGGATCACCCCGAGGTTTAAAAAAAAATGCAAAAATGAGTAAAACCACATAAATAAGCTGCGGTTCAAGGCACGGTTCTGCTTAGAGGAGCATCGTTTCACCTCTTCCCGGGCAAAGTCTCCCTCTTGTCAAGTGAGGAACTTTTAATAGGTATTTTTCAGTCCACAGTGATACTCAATTAGCCTTCTGGGGGCTGGTGGGAAGTGATTTTGAGACACAATGCAGAGCATTTTGAGCCCGTTTTGGAATCCTGGATCCAAAGGTGTTCCCAGTCACCTTGGGTCATTACAGGGACGGGCTAGAGACCGTGTAGAGAGGAATGCCAAGCTAGTACAGCCTCTCCTTTGTTCGTGGAGAAGCACTTGTTTTATTAAAATCTAATATAAAAGGGGTTTGTGTTCCGGGCTGAGAGGCTTGACCTTTATTTGCCACTTAAAACCTGCTGGGCTTTAACCCGGACTTGAGTGCGGTTTTTACGCCTCATGCAGGTTCTGTGTGCATCATGCCCATTAAAAACTCCTGGTTTTGTGTATTTTTATGTAAAGAAAAATATTTGTTCTACAGTTTCCCTTAACTCTGTGAAAGCACTCCAAATCTTCATTTGTTCAGAGCTGCTGTTGTTATTATTTATAATAAACTGATTGTTTTCACTTTGAATTTTGTTTATTTTCTCTGATTCAACACATTGCCTTCTTTCCTGTAAATACAGCATAAACTATTTTATTAACAAACTGGTATTTGTAAAATAGCCTGGTTAGCTTCTGGCCGATGTCCACCTGTTGCAGATTTCACAAGAGCTCACAGAAGGAACTGAAAGTTTAAATAACTTTCCAATGGATTCACCCTTCAGGGCTGAAGTTTTGCCTTAAGTGATGTAATACTGTCAAGAAATTCGTGGCTACAGTAATGGTCGGCAGTATTAGAACAATTTGAATAACCTTTTCGATCAGATCATGGTCTCCATTTGAAAGCAAGTGGTGCAATCTGTTGTCTTTAAAAAAAATAATCTTGCCTCTGCTTTGTTTTTTATTTCAAACTTCAGACTTTATGGACACTTTGATTACTGCTGAGCAAGGCTGCACTAGGGCCGGGGGAACCCCCTTTTTTCTGATTTTGTGTATAGCAGTGTTTTGCTTTAAATTACACGCTTTTCATCATTGCTTCTGCCAGTGGAAGCAGGCGTTTCTGAATACTGTAGGCCTTGCAGACATTTTCTCCTGGCTCATAGTTGATTCATGCTTTGCAAGGGCTGTCACTGAATTCGCCCCTTTTTTCCTCCTTTACTACACATTTCCTGTCTAAAATTAGAGATGAGCCCTAAAGCTTTGTGGATCGAACATGTTTTCAGAGCGATTGGACCGGAGAGGGACCTTCCTGAACTCCGTGGTACACTTGCATTGCACGTGAAGCAGGTCTCAGCTTCTGTGACAAGCTACAAACCATAGTGTGCAGAGAGGGAAAACATTGATCTTTTTGTCGGGCTTCAGCTCGTATATCATTTAAGTTCTCAAACAAGCCTTCCTCTGTTTTGCTTTGAACTTCCCCTTGCTGCTGAGGGTGCTGGGGTAAAGCTGGCACCAGCCGGACTCCGAGGCTGGGACACTTGAATGTCAGACTTAACTTCCCTTGAAGTCACAAGTAGACTGGTTTTAACTTCAAGATTTGGGCCAGGGCAACCAACTGAAATCCCCTTTATATTTGCCGTACAGCTCCTCCCTCTTCTCAAGTATTTTTCGTACAACACCTCTACTTTTTAGTGCTGCTGAAGCAGGAGAGGTCTTGCCCGATTGCCTACATAACAGAGAAGCAGAAAACCTCGAACTGGCAGGACTCTACAGCCCACATAGGTGTTGGAGACCTGTGGACAATTTTGGCCCGGCTTCAGCTGAATCTGAGCCGACTGGTTTGGCTTTCCTTGGGTAGGTTTGCCAAATATCCCATTGCTGTCCGTTACAGATGAGCCCGTTCCATTGCTTGCAGCTTTGGTCACTTCTGTGCTTTCTTTTGCTCCGTTTACCAGACGGGCACAGCTCAGTATTTCACCAGGCTGTCTTTGGTTTTGCAGGTAGCTGTATCCAGCTGGGTGGCAGGTGGATCCAAGGGTTACCATGAAGTTTTCAGGACCCCTGGAGAGCCAGAGGTTGTCTCTCCTTCTGGAGACGGCAATCTCTAGGGAAGCTCAAATGTGGAAAGCACATGTGCCGAAAATTCAGCCCAATCAGGTAATGTCTCTTCTTCACATCATTCATCGTAGTAAAGGCATGAGAGTATCCACTGGTGTATTTTCCTGTGAACAACTGAAGCTGTTGCATGAGAAGCTTCTGCTTGAGACCTGGGAAATTAGCCTCTGAAATAATTGATGACTTTATTTGAGGGACACACATGCAATCAGAGGTCCAGAATTGTCTACGCTTAGGCTAAAGTATAACAGTCACTCTGTCACCCAACAACCCCGGGGAGGAGAATCAGGGAACAAGGTGAGCAGACCTGTGGGTGGAAGTGAGAACAGATTTGTAACGAGATCACACCAATACCAACAGAGATATACAGACTTATACTCAGCCAAATGAATATCCAGGAAGCAGGGAGAAGCCAGAGAAGGAGTAGAAGAAACCCCAGCAGGAACCTCACAAGAACTCCTATTCCTTAGCACACCTTCCCCCTTTATCATGACCATGACATTATGGGATGGGCTACACCTGTAGCTAATGCAGGTCAGCTGCCCTGGCTGACTGGAGCCTGCCTAGCATGGCTGGTCGATGATTCTGTCCCAGCCAAACCAGGACAAGAATGCACTGAACATGTGCTGTTGCACGTACGTACAATGTCTTAGTTAAATGAATTTTACAAATCGTGCGGATAATTAACGCACATTTCTGGTGGGCACCAACTCTGCAACAGTTATAAAAGCAGCTTTGTAAACATGGACCAAGTTCACTACTAACAGCGTTGAAATGCTGGTTGCTTTCCATGTGGAACGACGTCTTCTCACACGAGCCACTGTTAGCTTGGCTCAGGGCTCCCCCTGAAACAGCATATTCACAGCAAAAGCTCAACTTCACCACCTTTTCCCATGCTGAGCCAGATTCTTCCCCGGTGTAAATCAGCCTAGTTCTGCAGGGTAGGCGGTGGTTGTGTCAGCTGAATGAGGATCTGACTTGGTAAAGCACCGTCTCCTTCAGGAAGAACCCCACGGACTGTAACAGGACTATTTATGGAGCAGGGTGCAAGCTTGTGTCAAGGGAAGCAGAGCCAGGCGCTGGCCTGTTCCAGTGAGGAATGTTCTCATAGGACTGGAGGAAAATTCAGGGTGGAAGGGACCGCAGGGGGTCCGTACTCCAACCTCCTGCTCAAGTTTGGCAGCAGGGCCAGCTGGGAGGTTGGACCAGGTCACACACAGCCTTACCCAGCCTGAATTGCCTTTGTGCTTCTTGCAGAGGAGGCGTCCGTCTAGCATGTGCACTCAGAAATGCCCGTGAACTCCACAAAGTTTTGTTCAAAACAAAATGTGAAACGTGAGGATGGATGTCATAGAGTTTCTGGCACTTTGTCGCTGGGTTGGGCAGAAATAGCCACACCAACGGGCTCAGATCCAGTCTCGCTGTTCTTGATTCGTATAAAATGTTCACGCAAGTATGTCAGCTGTTGTGAAAGCTAATCAGTGTGGCGTTTTATTTTGTCTGTCTGGCAGACAAGAAACTGCTGTTGTTGTGTAGGAACGAATATGTTTTTAAGGGGCTCTATTAGTTTTGTTAATCCACATTTAGGTTTCCAAATAAGTGACCTGGTTGTCAGAGGTGTTGGGTATATTGCGGCTGTGGCTGTCTTTGGGCACGTACAATGCAAGACCCTGGTTTATGGTAAACCAGCCTGTTGTTCCAGGCAGTATTCCTGTGATTCTAATGCAGGGAGATAAGATTACAGTATAACAAGATAGGTTAGGGACGAGAGTGTAACCGAACCAGATTCTTGTGTGAAGATTTCACAGGCACAAGGCGCTTGCGTTTTTGCCTCGGTGAAATTGATTCTGGTGGCTCAGAAACCACCACCTGCATCAGCCAGTCTTCTCAGCAATCCCTCCCTTGCAGGGTGGCGTTGTCACCCTCCAAAGATGAGGTTCCCCACCTGTGCCACGTTCAGGTTGTCGCTGCAGCAGCAGGACCTTAACCTCGGCCCCGTCTCTGGTCAAAAGCAGTTGTCCTGCCGCCAGGAGTCTTGAGGGGGGGCCTAACGTCACTGCGGCTGAGGTTTGCAGCACCTCGCAAAGTGTTTTCCTCAGTGGTAAATACTGAGAGAAGTTAACGGCGCTTTTGGCGGTCTGCCGAGTATGAAACCGGGGAGGCAGCTGTGTTGGGTGCTGTGAAAAGTCAGAGTAGGATCAAGTGTGGAAACAGCCCGATGGCTAAAGCCAGTGTGAAGTTTGTGCTCGATAGCAGAGTCTCAGGTCTCAGGACAAATAGCGAGTTCGTCCTTTTAGAGTGCAATTACGTCATGATGATGATGAAGGATCTCTTCCCCCTCCTCCCCTGCACTTGGACAGTGCTGCTGAGGTTCGTGCTTGGGAGTGTTTCCTCGCCCTTTGCGTGTGTCCCCTAGGGTTTCTACTCCTGAAATTTCCACCCCCAAAACTCTGTTGTCTTTGTAACGTTTTTCTGTTTTCCTACATGTCAGTTCAGACATTGACTTTATCAGCTAGAATGCCACAGTGTTACATGTTTTCTAGCAGTAAACAATCATTAAATTGGATTGAAATGTCTGTGTGCGTATGTGTAAAATGTGTGAAGGTCAGATTTAAAAGAGAACATAAACGTGGGGAAATCCTGACTTGCAATGCCAGGGTGCAGCTGAAAACCCTGGATCTGTAGTCACATATTTCTCTCTGTTCCTACAGTTTGTGACACGCGTTCCTCCACTTCTGCATTTTGGCAACATTCTAGTCACGGACAGTCACTGTGAATTATCCTATTTTCTGTAATATCTGGAAGAAGGTCATACTCCCTAACATCTCCTGCCTTCTTTTGAAAACAGCTGCAGTAGCCTAAAACCTCACTTGTATGAAACTGTTGTTTATTTCCCATGACAGTCAGGAAATCTGCATCCCTCTGTGTATCAGATCTGGCAACTCGAAGAGTGTGGAACTTTCCATTCCTTGCTACAAAGGTAGAATGGCTACAGAAAGGGTTTTAATGAAGTCATCTGGTTTGCAAATGAGAAAATGTGAGTGCGTCTACCAAAATCTTAATGATCGGATTGGAGGTACACCATAACTATTCTTCAGGAGTAAACTTTCAGTTTTGACTCTTCAGGAGACATTTGTGCTGCTAGTGTTTAAAACTGGAACAAATTCGGTTTCTAAGTATGTGTCAGAGTTGAAATCCTTGAAAGGAAGAAAGAAACTCGTAGTAACAGAAACAGGAAGACTTTACATTTTTAGTAGAGGATGCAGAATCTGTTGGGGACTTTGGTCCTGATAATTCAATGTATGTGGTTTTTCTGTTTTGTCTTTACTTTTTATCTGAAAACTCCCACTTCCTACTGGCATGTACGTTTCTTTTAGTTTCCCTCCTTTAAATATAGGCCGCTGGCATTGGGTATTTGCAACATACCAAAGCCAGATCGCACAAGGGCTTTTCAGCCTGAAAAAACTAGGTGAGCTGAGTCTGGAACCCTCCTAGTGCTTCTGAATGGGTTTGGTCTTTCCCCCCCCTCCCCCCCTTCGGGTTATACAACATGCAGATGACATTCAGAAGTTTTCATGTGATTAAAGCTTGAGAAATCAAGCAGTAAAGACTGGTCAAAGGTTGATTTTTGCATGTTACCAAGTAACTTCGCAGCAGAGAGGTGTGTAAGCCAAGATTTTTATTCTTTTATAGAAACAGAGTGTCACTTCTGTCATTTCCCCTTTCTTGCCTGTTCTGGCTCTTTCTTTCTGTCTTCTCATTTGCTCTTTTGTACCTCTTGAGGAATCAGGAGACCTGTTTATTTCCAGTTTTTCCACTGTCTCACCACATGACCTTGGGTCGGGCTTTTAACCTTCTGGTGCCTGTTTTATCCTGGGGGCGAATCAGAGACTGACTTACCAATTTTGTAAACCACTGTGAGGTTATTGCATCCAGCTCTTCCGCTTCGCTGCGCGGCCATCACTCTCCCCAGTGTTGGGGCACGTTGCTGTGCAGACGGCAGAGGCTGTGCTGCTTGGGCTCTTCGCTGAGCCACTAAGCTGTAGGCAAACCCTGCAAGACACCACTTCTGAGAGGTATTAGGAGAGCACCTTGAGTTCCCAGCTGGTACAGGTGAGAAACAACCCAGTGGGTGTCAGCTGGGGGCCGCTCTGGTGTGGAAGAAGCAATCCTGAGCCCCAAGGAAGGACCGATTTGGCTGCGAGATTTTATAGCTGCCCTTTTCAGAAGCCTCCCAGTGCTGATAAAGGTCACCTGCTTGCTCCCTAAGGAGCCCACAGCGGGACTAGGCAGAAACAAATAGGGGAAAGAGCAAAACATCCCTGTCTGGGACAGCAGACATTAAAGAAAAAAAATTATCAGGTAAGGTGTTTTTCCTAGATTAGGCAGCAATAAAATTGAGTCATGTTTGAGTTCACCGATAATATTGGTTTTAGCCTGCGTTTTCCAAAAGTCTCAAGGTATTCTTAGAGATGACTTGTACTGTGCTCGCCCTCTGGAGCCTGAGTCACGGCCTGCGGCCCTCCTGTCTCACTCAGCGAGTGTGCAGCAGGTCCCGCAGCAGGGCTGCCGGTCGGGGACGGTAACAAGGCGATTCAGCCGTCGGTAAACGGGAGGCAGAACAACAGCTCTGTGTGCCCCTCGCCATTGCCAAGGCTGCACAGGCAGCTTTCTGACAGGATGGCTAGGAAATGGGGTTTGGGGCACTGATTTGGGAATCGGACAAGTAAGATATTAACCATCACAGGTGCTGGAAGCCTTGGGTCCGCGTGGTTTGTACGGGGCGCCGTATTCCCTCCCTTGGGCAGAATTACCGACCTCCGTGGTTGCTCACTGTGGAGTGGTTAAAATGACAGGCGCGGTGAGCACGGCGCTGCCGTCGTTCAGTGTAGTCACCTGCGGTGCCAGCATGTTGACTGGCCTCGTGTTGTGTTATTTAAAATACCTGTCAGGAATCCTTCAGAGAGGCTTCCTGTTCCTTGACAGCATGTTCATCGATAGAGAAGCGACAGACAGGATATTTCTTGATAAGGAGTCAAGCAAATAGTGGCAGGAAGCAGGGCGATGTGCTGTGCCCCTGCTTTAAGGAAGGAAGAGAGAGAAGTTGACATCCCCCTGCTTCCCCATTTGTGTCCCAAACACATTCTGTTAGCTCTGTTGTCCCTGCAAGGTGGCTCGTTTGTGTTCCTGCTGAACATGCTGTCGTGCTCTGAAAAGGTGGGAATTAGCATCACATCTTCTGCTTGGAAAAGAAGATACAGGCCTGTCGCTCACATGTGGGTTTAGAATAGCGTTGATGGGTTTGCACATCCGATGGGCCCGTTGCGTTCCTTGGGGATCACATTTTGAGCCGATACCCGCAGGGCCCGTTGTGTGCACTGCTCTGTCCACCGCTCCCGCCGGCCTCCCTCGGAGCGGGGGCGTTCGTGCGCTCCGCAGGTGGAAGACAGGAAAAGAGCTGCGGAAACCCCTTGCGTTATTTTACGGAGGTGCCAGGCAGGACGAAGCAGGATGGAGAGGGAGGAAAGGAGCAGCGGCTGGTCTTGCACTCTGCAGGAGCGTTCAGCCTGCCACGGCACGCATGGCTGTCGGTCCCAAGCACCAGGCAGACGAAGAGCGGGCTGTGAGCACTGCTGTAAGCGTGCAGGGCGGTTTGTAAAAGTTGCTCTTAAGGCAGTAGCGCTGTGTCTCTTCCTGCTTGGTAAAACTCTGTCAGGCACTTTTTGCAAGAGCCCTGCCTGCGCTCGTGGGGTGTTCGTGCACAGCAAACTGGCTCTGAAATCCCTCACGCTTCATGCAGCTGCCTGCTGGCTTCCTCCTGCAAATACCTGCTCGGGCGCCAGCCCAGAGAAGAGCACTCCGGCACCGGCACGGGCTTGGTCTGTGATAGCTGGTGTGGGAGGGGGGGGAGGGTAGCACCAACCCCCTGCAGCAGGTCGGGGTCCTGGGCACCCGCAGTGGCACACAGCGAGTAGGGCTGTGGCTTAGTCAGGCGCCTGATCCTGGTGGTGGTTGTGGTGAAGAGCTGGGAGTGCCATCACTTTTTTTGGTGGCAGGAGTCACCCACACGTCTGCTAACGTTTGGTGCGGGGACAGGCAACCAGATTGGTAGATCGGTCCTTGCTCTCTGATCTGGCCTCCCCTCCAAAACAGAAGAGGGGGTGAAAAGCGCCAGCCAGAAGAGACGGATTGTCCTTCGGGCGGTTGTTAGGTCTGTCTCAGAGCAACCTGCTGCTGCTGGCTGAAAACTGAGTCTGCCGTTGCTGAGCTTGGGTTAATTTTCCCTAATTAAAGCCGTCACGCTAGGCTAGTGTGCTCTTCCACCCCAGGGGTTAAGTTCTGCACCGGTGGATTTGTGGCAACAAAACAAAGAGCTGGCCACACACAGCCGGGGTGAGTGGCAGAAGGAAAGAAAAAAAAAGGTCCACGCCAAAGAGGAACTTTTGCTTTCCAGCCCAAAGGGACTTTTTTACTTTCAGCCACCACAGCGTCTCATTTTTGCTTTCAGTTTTGTATAACTAAGGAACAGTGACCTCGCTGCTTGATTAATTTTACAGTGCTGCATTTCTTACCTGTATTACTAGGATGACATAGGTACACCTTCGAGGGAGAGGAATAATGACCAATACATTTGCGCGGGAAGGTCCTTGCCCTGCTTGGATGTAGCAGCAGGGTTCGTGGGTACGGTGGGACCAGCTCTCATTCCTTCAGCCCATCTCTTAAAATGGGCCGTGCCGAACTTCTGGTGCTGGTGGGAGGAGGCTTGAATTCACCTGGTCTTTCTGTGTGAGGGAATTTTCCCCCCGCCCTTTATTTGCAGTAGACACAGAGTAGCCAAACTTGTTGTAGGATTACTGCAGAAAAGAGCTGGAGAGTCATCTCCTTTCCTTTACTTCCCCAGATAGCTCTTAAAAAGCCAGATTTTATTTTGAAGCCTTAATTCTGCCTTGCGTATACTCAGATGGGAGTGCGCTTTGCAGTTGTTCTTCATATTAAAGGAACATCATGGTGCTCTGTGCCGGGCTGTTTTTTGTTTGCTTTAATTTTACCTTTTGCTTAGATACACTGTTGTTTTTCAGTGGTTTAGATGAGACACCATTTCTTTTTCACAGGGAAAGGACAGCTGTTACCATGGTCTGAGTGTACAGTTGCTATTCTTTCTGTTAAGGCCTTGCCATTTAAAGCTAACTCCCGAGTCTAAACTTTTGCCTTTTGGCCTCACACTGCCCACGAAGGGAGAGAAGACAGAAGGACAGACCTTGGGAGGACCGGAGACAAACAGGGCAGCATGGAAAGACGATCTTACCCTTCCCACCCATGCTGTTTTTAGGAGAAGGCCTAACCTTTTGCTTTGGCAGGCACAGGGAAAACAGCGCTGAGCCAGGACAGACACCACCAGGAGTGGTTGAAGCAGATGCCCCTTGCTGCTGGGAATCTGGCAGGAACGGGATTTGCCAGGAAGGGAAAGGGATGGGAAGAATGCTCCCGTGCTTTTGAGGCATGGCCCTGCCTCCCCAGCAAGGAGCTGCCCTTTTCGCCCCCTCCTCTAGAGCAGACGTTGTACCGCAGGAGGGAGCAGGCCCTACTGCCCCCTTGACACAGCACTGACCGTGCGGCTCCCCCCCCGTGCCGGCCAAGGGCCCAAGGCCGTTCCTGCTGGCTTCACTGGTAAAGCTGCTGCAGCTGGACCAGGGCAGTGATTGAAGGGTCAGAGGCAGGTTTTTAAATTCAAGTTTATTTTGTTTGATGGGGCGGTTTCACGTTGGCTTTTAGCAGGTACCCACAGAGCTTACCTGCTGGTTTCACCCAGGTAGTGCATTTCCAAAAGAATCCTTTAAGCTGCTTGAAACCTTTTAAGGCCACAGTACTGCCCAAACCTGGCTGGGGTTACAAGCCCTTTTGTACAGCCTTGGCTCCTGCCATTTAGAAACAGGCGCAATGAACAGAGCAATAAGGAACTTTGTCTTAACTGTCACTCCTTCCTTCTCTGCCTGTTTACGTTCAGCTGTGCAGGCCTCGCTGGGCTGGATGAGAAATACATTTTCTATAAGGACAGCCAGTATTTAACATACTAGCCCTTTTTTCTCCCCGCACACATTCTAGGCCCCTATCCTGCTGTCCAAAACATGCTTGTAGCAGAGCATTTAATAAACTCTTTATTGCTGTGCGGTGCATTCGTTATACTCCCAGCACCCGCTGAACTAGTGGTTCTGAACTGAGTGCAACATGTTGCAGACAGCAGGTGTCCTGCCCCTGGTTGGGGCTCAGATTTCACCCTTAAAGTGCAGTAACCATTTTGGAAAAAATCATTATTTCTTGGAATGGAGAAAACTAATTTTCTCTTCTCTCCCGAAAAGTAGTAGGTGCTTTTTAAAAAGCCACACTGTAGTCAAGTGGCATCGAGAGGTCCCAGCTGAGACCAGTGTGGATCAGACATCATCCTGCTGACGCCATTGCACCTTCAGGGCTTCAGCAGAGCCAAGGCAGGACTTTGTTCTCCCAGGGGAGCACCCAATGTAGCACGGAAGGCACGTTTTGCAGGCAGAGGTAGTACCTACCACTTTATTAGCTCAGCTAGTTCAGCTGGAAGAGTCAGCTTTGGATCGCAGAACCCTGTGCTGCCACACAGCACCATCACTGCTGTACCTCTTGTAAGGGAACCGGGCGGGCGCGCTGCGGCAGGACGCACGTCCACGAGCAGCAGTAACCGGCTGCGCGCCCCCTGCCCCAGAGCCCAGGATTCAGCCCTGAGGCTCGAGCCCTGCCCCCTTCGGCGCCCCTTCTGCCCCACTTGGTGGAGAAGGTGGAGCTCAGCTCCAGTAAGGACGGTGAGCGCAGAGTAAAGATGTCATACTGCAAGTAACAACGAAAGGGGTGAAGCTGGTGGCCTCGTGGAGGCCCTCGTGCCGTTGCAGTTCTGCTTACCGCGCTCCGCTTCCACAAATGTTCTCGACTCCCAGGCAGGGGAGTCAGCAGACCTGTAACAAAGCGCGTTACGGTCTGGGTAAGGCACACGGGAGGTACTTTGGTGATAGATGGAGCCTGAAGTATTTATATTGCATCAATGTCAGGGGGTTTTATTTTCTAAAATTCTGCTACTTCCCCCCACCCTCAGCAGTAGCCAAAAGAGCACAAGGGCCCTGCACGTAGCAGAAGAAATGTGTTCGGTTTCACTTCTGGACACATCCTCGCTAATCACCCCAAATAATCCCTGTTGAAGTGAGACCAGTCGTTTATGTGGGTGAATTGAAAGGTTCTAGAAAAGCTGTAGCTATTTCTGAAGAAAGTCAGAAAGAGTTTAAGTCAATGACTGATCTGTGTGGTTGAAATTCAGCTATTATCCAAACAGATCAATGGTGGTCACTTGGGCCCAAAAAGTGAAAAACCAAAAAAACCCCAAAAACCTCAAACCCCAAGTTTTTAAGGTAAGGTTGGACCTGCTTTACCCCAGTTTGTGGTGAACTGTACTGCTAAAGGTCTTTTGTAAGATGTTTGGAGTTTTCTTTTTTTAACATATACCAAGCTAAAAATAACCCCATAATTTGACAGAAAAATAAACCTTTCCTTTCCAAACACCAACTCGGTCCCTCCCCTTCCGTTTGTCAGGAGCTGCGCACCTGCCTGGCTCCCAGAGCATGCCTGGATTTGTTCAAGCCGGGCATTTCTGTATATCTACGTGGTTCTAAGGAGGTTAAAAAAGTAATAAATCTCTTGGAGCTAAGCCGGAGAATACCCTGTCAGCACTTGAGAAGCTACAAGACATCCTCCCTCTTTTCCCCCAGTGTACAGTGGAATTTCTGAGTGATGGTTGAGGTTACTGTACGGAAAGTTGTCTTTTCCGGGGCAGATTTCTTGGGATGGGGTAAGTAACTGCAAGAACAAAGTGGTGATTCAGGCTGGCTCGAGGCCCCCCTGTTCCAAAGGAGGCTTCGTTTCTGTGCTGAGGAACTCCTGCGGAGGTAAAACGTTTGGCCTTTTCTGACTTGCTGAGCCTGTGTGTAAGAATAGTTTGTTTTTCTCTCCAACAGGATGTAGCCATTTCTCCAAAGCAGAGGGATGAGGTCATTCAGTGGCTGGCCAAGCTCAAATACCAGTTCCACCTTTATCCAGAAACGCTCGCCCTGGCCATCAGCCTTTTGGACAGGTTTTTAGCTGCAGTAAAGGTAAATATTTGCAGATACATAAACCGAAACAGATTTATCCACCCTCTCAGCTATTTCTGTGTACAGTCCGAATGGTGTGGCTGTAGGAAACACTTACTTCCCCCTCTGCTCTCACACCCTCTTCCTTTCTCACCCATGCATGGGATGGTACCTACACTACTCTAGGAGCTTAATTTTGGGTTGTGGAACTGGCAGCACACACTGCCTCCAGGAACTTCTGGAGGTAGATTCTTTCCAAAGTCATTTCTCACCTGGTGAAGTAGCCACTGTTTTAGTAAGAACACGCAGTTCTTGGGGAACTGACCCAGTGCTTATACCTGCCAAGAACATTGTCCCCTCTTTCCTCTGTTCTGCCCATTTCCTTCATGTAATGCAGCTCATTAGTTTTAAGTGTCTGTTAACCTGGGAGAAAAGCAGCACCCTTCCCTTCCTCTTCAACCACATGCTTGCTCTTAACCTGGTTTGAATGTTGAACTTGCCTCAGCACAGTATCTGTTCCTTTATGCAACCAGAAAAAGGGGTGGCGTAGAGTTTACGCTTTAGATTACAAGAGAACAGTCTTTACCTTAACCTAAATTGACTCATAAAGCTAAGGGAAATGCCTCCGAGCCTGCAGTTAGAAACCTAGGCCCAATGTCCTCTGACAGAGAAGTCAAGGAATGTCCCCGCTCACCTCTTAATTTCTCTGGTGTTTTAACTGCACTTGTACCACCCAGAATTGCTGGGAGCACCTGCTGGCAATGAACTAGCTGGAGGAAACAGAGGTTTGAGGACAAGTTTGGGCCTGGCAAGTGTGCAAGTGCAGGGAAAGGAAAAAAAAAAAAAATGGGGGGGAGAAGATGCAGCCAGAGAGGATTGCGCTTTGGGGAGCAGTTCAGCACTGACGTGCTCTGCAGCCAGGCTGAGAGCACTGACTGACAGCTTAAGCCTGATGTCAAGTCAGGCAGACATGAAGGGGAGAGAGGTGAGCAAGCATGGGTGCGGGCCATCAAAGGGACAGGCTGTCCACGCCTGCTGCACTGAACAGATACGCTTGTTTGGTTTTAAGGCTGTTACACCATAGAAACCGTTTAAAAAGTTAAAAATTGGCAATTGGGCTACCCGCAACGGGGATCTGCTGCTCCTCTGTCCTTGTAAGTCTGCCACGGAAGCAAGTAGATGGGCCGTGTTTTGTACCCGCCCAAGTGACCAAACAAACGGTAGATGAACCCGAAACCCCTGGCCTTGAGCTGTGAAGTCAGGGTTTGGGTAGCCTTATCCCTTACCAGATTTGCTCAGTGACGTTCCGTGCTCAGCAAATCTGCAGTCTCATCTGCGTGCGTGTCTGACCTCATCGCCAACACTGTTGGGCAAGCAGTGTAGCTTGGGAGATCACGGCAGAAGAACGTACCCTCAGCCTGTGCACTTACATTTCAGCGTTTGGGAGAATGCAAGTGCCATCGTCCGTTATCCTACCCTTTAAATATCACTAAATATTGATAATGTTTTAATTACAAGCCATAGGATTTTTTATTTCAAGGAGATGTTAAAGTAGCTGATTTCCTCAAATACTGAGATGGAAAGGACATATACATATCTCAGCAGCTAATGCCCTTGAGTGCAGTTTTTCTTTCAGTAATTTGCAGCAGCGAAGGAGCTTGCAAAGAAAGTATGAGAGTACGAGTAAGGAGTCCACTGCGTGCTTCAGGCAG